GAAGCTTACTAACGCCACTTGGCAGGCATCGATTAGAAGAGCATCAAGGCGAAGATTTTGATATCAAATGCAAAATCCTAGCCTACGAGAACGAGATCGGTGCTAGAAAGATATTGGAAGCGTTGTATATCCGCCAGCGAAATCCTAAGCTGAACAGCCGGAGTGAGTGCGTTGCCATAACGAGTGAACTTCTGCCATTCATTCCCTTTTGTGGGCTTTGAGATCACCGCGCAATTTTTATCTCACGACCGTCAATGGTGTCTCATTGTTCCCTTGTTGTTCACGAAATAGAGTGGGAAGACAACGCTGGTGGAACCGCAGAAGGTTGGTTTCTTGGCAGGGATGTTTCGGTGTTTGAGTTTCTGGGAGTAGTTGGGACTGGCCTAGTGCGTTTGGGCGCTTGGTCAGGTAAGCCACAGACCAAGAGCTCCGAACTACTTTCAGGTCCTTGAGGACGACGAGTTGGTCGAAACGTCGGCCTAATAAACGGTTCCATCATAACAAACCTGTACGGCAAAGCATTCTGAAATATTATATGACATGCCCAGGTTTCAAGAAGACCGAACTTGGAGATCGTCGTAGCCTACCTTCCGGTGAGCTTGGTAGGGCTGTATCAACGTCCGATTTACAGTTTGCTGCATCGTCATTCCTCTTCAGCACTTCGTCTAATTCCAGTACTTCGAGCGAATTTTTCAATGGCTTGTCTTCAATGTGCGGCTTCATCTTGGCGTTACTTCTTCGCAATTAGTTTGCATGCTTTCGCACTTCTTTTCGTCTTCTTCAACTTCATATTTGACTTTTCCGAGACGCTCGACTATTGCTCCCTTTTTCTAAATGAAATTTGGGGCCTTCCATATCTGTGTGTGTACAATATCTCCAATTTCGAACTTCTTACAGCTCCTTCATCTTAGTTTGGCTTCCTAGTACAGACGGCGATGTTAAAATATTTTCCATCGGCGACAGCAAGCTCATCCGCGTTTGAATTTTTCTTTCAAAAAGAACTTTTGTTCGAGTCTTGTTACTCAAACTTTCATTTGGCGTCATTCTGTATGTCTGCCGGATCACATTGAGTGTCGCTTCCGATATCTTCTCCTCCCCTTGAATTTCTTGATACCTCTCTTAAGTGTATCAACAAATGTTCGACTAACCCATTCGATTGTGGGTGATACGGGGCGGTTCTCAAGTGCTCTATTCTTCCTTCCTCGCACATTTTCCTGAATTGATCTGAGCAGAATTGGGTTCCATTGTCACAATGGTTTTCGGTGGTCCATTCTTGCGAACAACGCCTAGCCCCTTCACTGTTTGGTTTGCGGAAATGTTTTTCATTTCGAGTTTTTCTGGCCATTTGCTAAAGGCGTCCGCAAGCACCGCGTAGTAGCATCCATAAATTGATCCAGCGAAATCTACATGAATCCTTTGCCAGACACGGGTAGGAGTTGGCCATGTCTCCAAGGGTACCTCGATTGAATACTTCGCATACCTCTTGACATTTCGATCAGTTGCGCGCTACATTTTCACTTTCACAATCTTCATCAATATTTGACCAATAGACATATCTCCGAGCAAACTTTTTCATCCTTACAATTCCAGGATGACCGACGTGTAGTTCCTTGGAAACATTCGCTTGCAGTTTCTTCGGGATCACAACTCTTTTTCCCGTCCTAAGGCAATCTTCTACGAGTATAGTATCTATCAATGGATGTGATAGGAATACTCGCCAGTTTGATGTGTGAGACGACTGATCACTAGACCGCAACACTTCATTTGGCACAGTAGGACTTTTACTCGACAGATAGGAATAGTTCCGCTGATTGACAATGACTCGAAGAAGATGATGTCGTAGAAATCGAAGACGTCGCCAGAAGAAGCTGTTGAGAAGCCCCGCTCTCATCGCACCACTACTTTTATAGCATTGCTCCTAGCACGTTCACATACATAGCTGCCGCGAAGAGTGTTGTGTTTTGTCACCGTTGACAAACGTTTACATACGCAACTGCTGTAAAGAGCCTCATCTGAAACATCTTTCTTCGTTCGAATCTATTTCATTTAACATTATACTAAATCATAACATGACATTTAGTCGGCGTTGACGACAGTATCTCTCTTCTGTTAAGAATGGTGCCAGATCCGAAATGACTTCCGGCCATCTTCCACTCCCACATACGGACGTGTTCATGACTCAGCGGCGAATTTCTGATGCATTCTTTCAATATGCTGGAGATAGCCTTCTCCACTGCTGCGTGAGGTTCTGGTCGACTGCGGCAGAATACGGGGCGCACACTCGGTATTAGTTGTAGAGTGACTTCTTCCTTGGTACAACGTCCTGGGCCTTCTTCAAAAACGTCTGGCTGAATTCTCTTCAGTGCTTCCTCCACGTCGGATTTTGGTGCTAGCTTCACCTCTGATATCAAGATATGCATGTGATTCGCCATCTCTTCATTTCCTCGAATCCATCCAGGGCCCATAAGTGAATTATACGGCGTCACATAAGCGTAGCCTTCTGTTTTGATGCCTTTCATTTCAATCTTGCATCTCACCAGGGAAGGATCCCAAGTCGAAGTGGCCATTTGAAATGAGACCTACACTGTTGGACGTGTTTTTGGATGATGAGTTCAAATCTGCTTTNCAAATTTGCCAAGCGTTTCTCTGAACGGAGTTATGAGGGCGGTTTCAAGGAGCTTAACATAAGAAAACTTAAACTACATGGATCGCTTGCTTCCTAAATGGCGGCTTGGTGTAGTGGTCAGCGGTGCGCTTCATGAGCGAGAGGCTAGGGTTTCGGTTTTGTGGGGGACGGGATTTTTGCATTATGTTGAATTTTCCCTTAGGGACTAAAAATTACTCTCATGATGACTTCATCACGTTTTATGACCTTTTAATGCATTCGCTGATATTTATCCACATAAATTAATACTGCAGTTTTGCTCGCATCCCCATGCGCTCTATGTTCATATAGGGCAACTTTTGCCACTTCATAAACAAAGTGATACTCTAGCACAAAATGCTTGGAACAAGGAAGCTTCTCCCAGTGGGAGCAACGGATGAAAGAAGAAGTGCCCATTGCTTTACACCTTCTAACCCCAAATCGGATGGAAAACAGAATTGTGTAGGCGTTCCAAAACTACACAGGTGAGTGCTTAGGTAGCCTGCGGCATACATGAATACAAGGAGAATTTCATAAATCTAGCCGCACAGAACTGAAAGTAGACAAGCAATAATAAGCGAAGAATGGGTCTCGTGTGTACATGGAAAAGTTGAGATCATGAGCTGTTTCATATCAGGTGGTGCGTTTAACCATATTTTTTTTAAAGGAAATAAGAAATAATCTTCTATCGGCCGTATTAACCTCGCTTTAGCTTCGAGCAGGGCGTCATTCCCTTCACCCGCTTCTGTCTCCCTTCATCTTCAAGTCCTCCATCAACGGTGCCGGTGTTGGGGAGTCCAGAGCTGCCACGCACCATCGCACCCAATCTAGCATCAACACCCAATCTAGCATCTTCATTGCTCATCATTTTACTTGCCCGAACCTCCAAATTTTGCGTACGAGGAATCTCCCACTCGGTAGCAGGTAGGTAGGTAGGAGAAGTTATCAGCAAAGCAATAAAAAGTCATAAACCTTGATAAAATCACTATTAGACTATTTTCTAGCTCTGAAGGGAAAAATTCTATAAAATGCAAAATTTTTGTCCCCTACAAAGCACGAACCCTGGCCTCTCGCTCATGAAGCGTCACGCTTACCACTACACCAAGCCGCCGTTTAGGAAGCAAGCACATCCATGTAATTGAAGTCTTCTTATGTTAAGCTCCCAGAAACCACCCTCATTACTCCGTTCAGGGAAACGCTTGGCAAATTTGAAAAGCAGATTTGATTTCATCATCCAAAAACACGTCCAACAGTGTAGGTCTCATTTCAAATGGCCACTTCGACTTGGGATCCTTCCCTGGTCAGTTTGCCGTGGACCATCACCTGGTCTCCACTAGCATTCTTCACGATGACATCAGTCTTCTGCAGTGTTAGAGATATCATATTCTTCCACGACTTCTCATTCAACAATGTGATGTCAGATCCTGTGTCAAATGGGAACTTAACGACGCAGTTGTCCACGACTGCGTTGACGTACATGCGATGGGAACTCACTTCAAGTGGTGCGTAAGCACTCCTAACAGTTCGCACTTCTTTTCTGGATGCTCTTTTGCTCCCGCCGCTTTCTCCTTCGCTGTCTTTCTTCATCGGTTCTTCATAGAAGTCGGATTTCTTTTGTCGCAGTATGTCGCAAAACTTCTCTTTGTGAACAGCTTTTCGGCACTTCTTGCAGAACCAAGGTCTCGACTTACAATGACGAGCATAGTGGTTATTTCCGCAATTCCAGCATTCGATTTCTTTTCGCTTCTGTACGGATGTATTTAGCTCTACCAACTTCATACTTCCGGCAACAGTTTCACTGTCTCTCTTGAGGCTCAAGAAACTTTCGCACTCCTTGTCAGTTCTTGTAAGGACACTGTTTTGCCTGCTTCGTGTTGTGCGAAAGTTAGACGATCTCAGAGACTGATGGTATGAGTTAAATTCCATGTTCTCTCATCTTTGAACCTCGGCATGTCTGTTGTTCTTGAAATCGTTAGTTTTTGCTTCTGCCTCGAGGCTTGTAGGTGGAAATATTTATTGTGACCGACGTTTCGACGGACTCGTCGTTTTCAAAGGCCTGAAAGTGGTTCAAAGCTTCTTGACTGCACACTACCCCACCAAGCGCCTCTTCCGCTCTAGCGTTTCTGACGTTATATCAGGAATGTACGAGAAAATGACCGAAATCCAAAAGATAAGCTCACCTTACTTCCACCGCAGAGTGTAGCCACGCTACACGGTTAGTACATTAGTAGCGAATGATCTTAGTCTGCTGTTCTTATGCAATAATATTATTGCGGATCAGCACGTTCGCGGATTATGGAACAAACTCGCAGTGTTGCATAAATGGCAAGAGATCATTTGTGATAGTCACACACTCCTTTCGGTTGTTCATATCTGGATTTCCAGCCAAAATTTTAGCGGCTTCTCGTCCTTGTCGTTACTGCTGCTCCTCTTCCGGCTTCTTCCTTGGCGAGCGGGCTCTTCAGCTCTTTGCTTAAGCGGGTCGGCCTTCTCTTGGGTGCGCGCTCTTGAGCTCCTTTTTCGCTGACTTCGTCTCCTGAACGCAGTTAGACGATCTCAGAAACTGACGGCCTGAATGTTTATTCCTACTTCGACATCCCTTTTATACCACTCTATCGCATCCTTCTTAAACATCCTCATTCTTCTTTATCCTCGCCGCTGTGAGTCCTTACTTCTGTTCACGCCATCACCCTAAACCGATCTAGCCACCCTCCCGAAACATTCTGTCCAAGACTGCGATCAACCTTTGCCTAATCTCAGCTTCTTAATGCGATTGCAATCCGAAATGCAGAGTAAACGTTTGATTCCCTCCGCATCCAGTTCGTGAATTTTATTTTTCGCAGAACTCGTTCACACGACCGGTATACGTAAGGAAGTCTTCAGCATCACTTTCTTCAACTTGAGGCGCTGAATCGTGGTAAACAACGATGTCTTGCAATCGAAGAGTTGTCTCAGTATTTCCACAGTTTCTCTGAATCCAATTTGAGAAAAATCTCTTGGCAGCACGTGCCATGGTACTTTTCAAAAAAGCGGTGCTCAATTTTTCACACAGTAGTCTGACTTTGGCACTATCTGTGAGTTGTTTTCCGTCCTCGAAAAACATCTCGTTGTATCACTAAAACCATTTGGAAAAGCGCATAGCAACTTCGGGATCGAATTCAAACTTTTCTGTCCGTTGGAGAGTGCTGTCATCGGGTTCGGAAGGAAATGGTCTACCGAGTGGTTATTGAGTGGAAGCGTACTTCCTGATAGCCACTGTGGTGTCCTTTGTCTGGCACAGCCGGACTAGTTGGACGTTTATTGGATACCGGAGGCAAGTGGACGCAAAAGTGAATCTGACACTACGCAAAAGTGAATCTAACACGACCGAAGCTTATGTAGTCGGTAGTAAAACAATAAGTGAGGGTCACTTGACCAATAAGTGGTTTATCATTCATAACAGAAACTCTGCGCAATTTTCGCTTTGAGAATCTCTTCATTAAAAATGGTCAGCTCTCACTGGAGTTTTGAGTAAAGGCAACGTGAGTTCCATGGAAAGTCCTCATGCTCGACGCAAACACAGGGAAATAAGATTTGCCTATATTAACCTCATCATACAGAATTTCATAGACCATCACCAACCTCCATGTTCGCCGTTCTCGAAACCTGGGCATTTGTTCTATGATTATGTATATCCTTACACTCCAGTATGACGACCGGTTTATTGAAGTCGCGACGATACAAGCAAAAAGAAGAAGTGTTCAACTATACTCGAGTTAGCCTTATACAGAGTAGATGTTTACGTTAAGAATTCATATCAGTCCATTCCTATACACAACACCTCCCCTAATAGGAAAAGTCTTTGTTTCTACTAGGTTACAATTTAGGTACGTGCCATAGTATCCTTAACAGAACAAACGATCTTCACTTATCTGGATATCCATTTTCTCTGCCTCAGCAGTCGCAGGCTGGTCTGTTGATTTCTCTGTAGGTATCTGCTGGTCGTAGCGAAGATCAAATATATCCAGTAGCCTTTTCAACATCAAACTTCCGCTACTTGTCGGTTTGTCTACATGACGACGTTTCAGTTGATTCACGTGTTTCTTAACCAGTTCTCCATTCACATCCACTTCTTAATTTACTGATCCGAGGCACCTCTTGATTGTGCCTCTTCCCAGACGAATTTTGATGATTTCCAATGTCGAGCATAAACGGCTTCTCAAACAGCAAAGTTCCTTTTAATCGAACCATGTCTCCTGTCAAACTACTGTTTCATGTACTCTCGCCTTTGTTCTGTGAAGTGATCATTTTAGCTTACCGGCATTGGCATAAACATGCTTAGTCGAACTGGAATTTTTCTCCCGAGGACAATTCTGCCGCAGTCTTCTCTTCTAATGAGCTGTTTGGTGTGGTCCCACAGGCTTGGAAAATAGTATTCAACATATCTTCGGACGGTCTTCATATCTCGTCCCGATCGCCAGTTATTGCATCCTTACACTCCAGTAAGACGACCGGTTTATTGTAGCCGCGACGATACAAGCAAAAAGAAGAAGTGTTCAACCCTACTCGAGCATTCGTCGTTTCGTTAAGAATCCATATAAGCCATTCCTAAAGCCAACAGATTGAACAATGCTTCTGTGTTTTTCAGGTTTTCTAATGGTGGGACATTTATTAAGCGTGACGTTTCGACCAATTCGTCATTATCAAAGGCCTGAAAGCGTTTCGGAACTTTAGAGTGTTGCATGTCACGCTTGACGGAGACCGACTCTTAACTTGTTNGGTAGTTGTCGTTGGTCTTGAAGCTGGTCTTTGGGGGTACTTTTGTAATCCCAGC